TATTGGCACATAACATAACTTTCGGAAAATGAATTCTAAACGAACGAAAAAAAAAATCCATCAAGTTTGATTCATGATTTGAAGATGATGATGATAAACAATGATCGATGATATGAATATATTTTAGTTTTCTTTTTCATTTCTTGATCAACTAGAACTACAATGATAATCACCATTGTTTAAGGAAAAAATATATTTCAGCTGAACTAAGGAAATGTTTTCTTCTTCTTTTTTTCAATTGAACCAAAAAATCAAAAAATGACATTTTTTAAAAACAAAATGTGTGTGTGATTGACTGACTGAATGAATGAAACCAAACAAGTTTGTTTATTGAACACAGAGAAAGAATTCTTTGGAAATAAGAGGCGAGAGAGAGAAAAATAAACTGATGTATGTTGATCATCATCATCACATCTCTTTTTATTCAATTCAGGATTCATATTTTGATTTTTGTTTTTATCGATTATTGATTTTCTGGATGATAAACAAAAAAACAAAAAAAATTTCGGGAACAGAAAATTCGATGAGTAAACAGAATAACCCGAAAGAATAATCTAACATAGTAAAAATATCAAGAATAATATGATGGTATGCATCAACAATTTTTTTTGTTGCTCCACATTCATATATATATTGTGATGGTTTATTTATATTTATTCAAGAATTTCATCATCATCATCATCGGAAGTTTGAAACGTTTTTTTTCTCTCTCTTCATCTCTTTTTTTTCACGTGAAAGAATTTGGTTTGATTTTTTTTGATTCTCTCTCTATTATTCATCCAAAAGAATATTCTCAATTCAAAAATATTTTCTATACATTAATAACATCAACAATGTTGTGACATAAACTTCGGTTAGTTTGTTTTTGTTTTTGTTTTTTGTTTAGTTCGGTTAGTTCAAACACACCCGCACGCACACATCAATATTTACATCTAATAGAAAAGGATAAAAAACCCAAAGGCTTTTCTTTTCATTTTCTGTTTTTTCGGTTATTCGATTGTTCAAACTAACCCGAAGAAATCATTGAGAAAAAACATTCATATTTGAATTTGAGAAAATAAAATAAAAAAGAAATTTGACAACAAATAACATTAAGAATGAACAATAAGAATAGGAAAAAAAACTTTGTTTATTACATTATCGATCACATCGTATATATCGGTACAACAATAATCAATAGGCGTATCAATCATTCTTTTTTTTTGATAAAAGTTCACGTTTAGTGATTTTCGATTATCAACCAATGAATCAATTTCCGTCGTTTACCGGAAATTGAAGTAGAAAAAAACAAACAAACAAAGATGTAAGTGTGAAATATTGGTTGTTTTTCATGCTGCAAAAATCGATCTCAGATCGATCGATCGATCTATTGATCAATAGGATTGATCGATTTTATTGAATGATAATCAGAAAGAAAAAAGAAGTAGTTAGTTAAAATAGAATGAATCAAGAATTTCCTAATTTCGTTAATTACTTACTTATCACTCTGTTGTGGTTGTTTGTTTGTTGATAGATTTTTTATGTTTTAATTATCAATATTGATTTCGTATCGATTTTTTTTTGTTTTCAAAGTTAGAGAGAATGGTAGAATTAATCGATTGATTGTCGATACAAAAAAAAACAAATCAACAACAAAAAAACGTATAGAAAAAAAAACAGTGAAAGAAAATACAATCACAAACCACATACGACGATGTTTACTCTACAATTTCGTTGATATAAATGACAATTCAAAAAGGAAAAAAATGAAAAAAAAAGGAAATATTCTCATGTTACACACACATAGATAGACAAGAGTTTAGTTTTTCAAACATCCGTTACTATCAATGTGTATTATGTGTAAGTGTGTGTAAATGTGTGCTGGTGATTCTGTTCATTTTCGGTCTGTTAAGTTTCAGTTTGGTTTTAGATTTTAGTTAGCTATATTTGGAACTTGATTCTGTATAAGCAGACATACAAAAAAACCAATACAAATTTTGGAATTGAATACGCATCATCGTTATAATCGTACGAATCCTGTATATGTGTGGGGGCTATATAATAATTTCTGTAGCTAATAATATTTGTAAAAAGCGTAGATATCATCATCATCATCAACATTATTACACTTACATTTCCTTTAAGGGGTTAAAAGGTTAGGTTAGTACAATATTTGAATAAAGAATTATAGGATAATTAATTATAATAATAACATTTTGGATATAATCAAATTTATTGATTGAATGATTTTACGATTGGCAAACACCAAAATTGATTAAATTTAAATTTAAATATTTATTTACTTTTTTTTTGTTATCGAATTGGTTTGGAGAAGGAATAAATAATAACAACAAACAACATTTGTGAATAATAAATATCAATAGAAAAAAAATATTACAAAAGCATCATCATCAATAATATTTATTTACAAATTGATTCATTTGCAATTGGAAAAAATATTGGACCAGACAACATTCAAAATATATCTTTTATTGAATTTTTCTATTTCAAAAAAAAAATTCTGTATAGAAATTTAAATTTGAAATAAATAAATAAATAAAAAAGCGAAAACTTTGAAATTTCTATGAAACTTTTGAATTTTTAAAAATAAATCATTGCCTCACACACACACACGCATATATAACTAATGGTGTATTTGGGGCATTACAAGCAAAATGGTTGATTGTCCGAATAAAAAAAAAGAATGTTATATAATCGAACAAACCAAAAAAACTAATCAATGTAATAAACACACGCATTGCGTGATTATTTATTATCGTCGAGTGTGTGATTGATCTTCTTATCTTCTTTTTTTGAATTAAACCATCATCAATCACCAAATGGCCAATACAAACCAATTCTCTGAATGAAGATTTTTCATTTCCGAAATCAAAAATGTTATTTTTTTTCATTCGAAGATGAAGTTACAATGTTTTTTTTTCTTATTATGTAATTTTGAACTTGAGATTTAATTCAATCATCATTCATTCATTCATTCAACCCATAATATGTCAATCGTGTGTTAACATCTTTATATAACCGTTCTGAAAAACTTTTTTTTTCTCACACCACTATCCGATTACCTTTATTCGAATCAATATTCCTAAACGGTTATTAACATTAACATTTGTCCGATTTTCTTTCTTTCGAAAGCAAAAAAATTTTCATCAAACATTGACTCCTGAATCAATGTGATGAAACAAAACAACAAAATGTCAACAAACGAATCGATCAGAACAAGATATTTCGATTGCAAAATGATATTTTTTCTTGACCACAAATTCTGTCTCTGTTTTTTTTTGTCATTTGACATGTCAAGACAAGATGCTAATTATCTTATGGTTTGATTCTCTATTTTGAGTATAGATTTTGGTAAAAGAATTAGGTAATGTCATTTTTAACAATTCTTAATAACTTTTTCAACCACATATAGCGAAGAACCACAGAGATTCTTTAATGTTTCCTATCCTTTAACGAGCAGCTTGCGCTCATTTGACAAGAATCGATCGACCGAATCAAACTTTTTCAATCTTTTTTTTGCTTATAAAACAAAATTTCTTTTTCTGTCTTTTTCGAAAATTTCAAGTAAAAAAAGGGAATGAAAGAAATGTTGCCACTTACTGTGCATGATTTGTTATCAATGTTTTTCAAAGTTTTTTTGGCCGTTTCTAATTGGTTCACAAATCACATAACGATGATTTTTCGTTTTTTTTTTCGTTGCCGATGTCATTTGAAATGAATTCATTTGGAAAAATTTTTCCCCAGAAAAAACACAGATCGATCAACATTTAAAGATTTATAGGTTTTTTTTCACATTTTTTCATGATCACTTTTATAGAGAATTTAGGAATTACTATTGACAAATTGTGAGCACCACACAAACAAAACAAAACAAACAATTTTTACCGCGGATTTTTTCGAATTGTTCGATTCGAACATTATTTTTTGTAATTCGATTCTATTTCCACCTTGATTAATCGTTCATGTATATATAGTGTTATTTTTGTGTGTTTATAAATAAACACGTGTGTGTGTGTGAATAGGCATCATTTGAAATTGAAATCAAAATTTTTTTTTCTTTTTATAAAAATGCAAAATTTAATTCTAAAACAAACTGAAACGATTCGTTTATTAGATGAATCAACAATATTCAATAAACAACATGATCAATTTGTTTTTGATGGATCTTACAATGTGGCTTATATTGTTTCGAATTTTTCGATTTATTCATTTCATTTAGACGATAAACAGGTAAATTTCAAGATTTTTCTTCGTCAAAACAAAACATTTGAATTAAAAGTTATAATAATTTATACAGATAATTCATCGTGCTAATTTTCAAAGCTTGCTTCAAAATTATTATGATGATGGGAATAATTATCCAACGATTGTCTATTGTCGATATATCATTGAAGATGAACTTTTATTTATATTATTCACCAATGGCCTTATAATCAACTATGATACTGTCAATGATTTATTGACGAAAAAATCATTGGACAGTATTGATGATACTACGGGTAATATTGATGATGCAAAATTTAGTTACGATCAAGAATTATTGGTTGTGAATACCAGCAAAAATGTAATGTTATTATTCAATAAATTATGGGTTTTGAAAAGTCGATACGATTTAAATGTTGATGAATATGGTGCCAATGAAATGATCAATATTAATTGGGGATCAAAAGAAACACAATTTCATGGACAAGGAATGCGTGATCATCGTCATCGTAATATTGTTGATGAACAACAAACTATTCCGTTAATCGAATTGGATGATCNAGAGAATTTGGGAAATATTACAAATTGACAAATTTTGAGCACCACAACAAAACAAACATATCCCGGATGACAGAGAACGGTGGAAAATTATTGTTGTAGAAGCAATGGCCCTAAATGGGCCGTTAAGCTTTTTGATTGATTGATTGATTGACAACAAAACAAACAAAAATTTTATACCGGATTTTTCGAATTGTTCGATTCGAACATTATTTTTGTAATTCGATTCTATTTCCACCTTGATTAATCGTTCATGTGTATTTAGTGTTATTTGTGTGTTTATAAATAAACACGTGTGTGTGAATAGGCATCATTCGAAATTGAAATCAAAATTTTTTTTTTTCTTTTTATAAAAATGCAAAATTTAATTCTTAAACAAACTGAAACGATTCGTTTATTAGATGAATCAACAATATTCAATAAACAAAATGATCAATTTGTTTTTGATGGATCTTACAGTGTGGCTTATATTGTTTCGAATTTTTCGATTTATTCATTTCATTTAGATGATAAACAGGTAAATTTTAAGATTTTTTCTTCATCAAAAAATTGAATTACAAGTAATAATAATTTATACAGATAATTCATCGTGCTAATTTTCAAAGCTTGCTTCAAAACTATTATAATGATGAGAACAATTATCCAACGATTGTCTATTGTCGATATATGATTGAAGATGAACTTTTATTCATATTATTCACCGATGGCCTTATAATCAACTATGATACTGTCAATGATTTATTGACGGAAAAATCATTGGACAATATTGATGATACTACGGGTATTATTGATGGTGCCAAATTTAGTTACGATCAAGAATTATTGGTTGTGAATACCAGCAATAATGTAATGTTATTATTCAATAAATTGTTGGTGTTGAAAAGTCGATACGACTTGAATGTTGATGAATATGGTGCCAATGAAATGATCAATATTAATTGGGGATCAAAAGAAACACAATTTCATGGACAAGGAATGCGTGATCATCGTCATCGTAATATTGTTGATGAACAACAACAAACTATTAATCCGTTAATCGATGATCGAAAATGTTTTATCGATTGGAAACATGATGATTATCATTATACAATTAATTTTCTTTCACCAAAAGGTTCTTATAATTGCCGATTCATGATTTTCGAATGTTAATTTTTGAAAATCTTTTTTTTCTACTTAGGATATCGTCTATTGAAAATATTCAATCGTGATGGTATACTTCAACATACAAGTGAATCGATACCTGGTTTGCAAAAAGTTATTGCTTGGAAACCATCCGGTTCATTAATAGCATCAGCACAATTGACTGCCAATTCGTATGATATAATTTTTTTCGAAAAAAATGGTCTAAAACATGGACAATTTAAATTACCATCATGTTTTAAGGTGAATGAATTCCAAATTGAAACAATTGCCTGGTCTTATGATTCATCCATATTGTTGGTGGCTGGATTTCGAACAACGCCAACCATTGATACTGAGGATGAACGGAAAAACAAAATTCAAGAAATTTTGTTTTTTACACAAAACAACTATCATTGGTATCTTAAACAGAAAATTCAAATCAAACAGGAGCAAAAATTTATTCAGAAAATTTTATGTGATGAAATTGAATATCAACGATTACATATGATATCAACGGATTTTGATTATCATTGTTATAATTATGAATTAGCATCGCAAACAACTGAAACCGGTACTGTATTATTGATCGAAGGTAATCAATTGAATATTTCGGATATGAATTCTACTTGTGTACCACCACCATTATATACATACGCAATTAAATTCACCGAAACCGATATTATCAATCAGATTTGTTATCGTGGACAATTTTTAGCAGTTTTTCTTAACGATATGATCATGATTTTGAAATTAACCGAATCTACAATTGAAAATGTTAATAATTTAAATCATCCAATTGTTTATCAATTTGAAAATATTTCCCTCAATTTACAAATGATTTATCTGCCAGTATTTTATGATAAAATCCAAAATATTGATAAATTTTTACTACCATTAATCGATAATGAAGGTCGAATATTTGGCTGTATTGATAGTCGAAAAATTGTTTGTTTTGATTATCGACAAAACAACAACATTATTGATCATCAAATTGAATTTGATTGTCATCATATGTTATCGATATCGGATAGAAAATTATTATTGATTGATTCTGCGAATCAATTTTATCAATTCGACTGCAATGGAATCATATTGCCAATAATGACAGAAAATCCCACAACATATGATGGAAAAATTGTTAATGTTTTATTGTTCAACAACCATACTGATGATGATGATGAATTGCATTTTTTTATTTTAACCAAAAATTATTCATTATATCATAATGAAATGTTGATAATGAAATCAAATGTTAATTCGATACTTTTACATAGCGATGGTTATCTACTATTCACTACTATTGATAATAAATTTTATTGTTGGCCAATCAAGGATTTTAATCCAACAAGTTTACAACGAAATTTTCCCGGTCGTAATCTTGAATGTGGAAGTAAATTGTTGGCAATTTCCGAATCGAATTCACGTGTTATTGTTGAATTACCACGTGGAAATTTGGAAGCATTTTGCCCGAGGATTCTTCTTCTAGATCTTGTTGATAAACATTTAGATTCAAAAAGATTTGTTAAAGCATTTGAAATTCTTCGAAAAAATCGTATAAATTTAAATTATATTTGTGATTATAATTTTGAAATGTTTATTGAAAATTGTCGACAATTTATCGAACAGCTTGATGGTGATAATCATATTGATTGGTTATGTTTATTATTATTCGATTTATCACCATCAAATCTTTATCATATTATGACACATCATGAACCAGAAATACGAATTGAAAATAAAATAAACAGAATTTGTGATAAATTTCTTGAAACATTAACCGGGATGGATGAAGTAAAATTTATTAAACCAATTTTATTGTGTCATGTAAAAAAAGATGTACAAGAAATTGATGAAGCTTTGTATCGAATTTATCGATTAAATGATGGAAAATTACAACAGATGGCCATCAAATTCTTGTTGTCAATTGTTGATTTGAAACGATTGCTTGAAGAAGCATTAGGAACTTATGATTTTGATTTGTTACTGATGGTTGTTTCGAAATCGAATAAAGATCCAAAAGAATTTCAAATGTTAATCGAAGATTTTCTAACAATCGAAGATGATAATTATAGAAAATATCGTATCGATCTTTATTTACATCGTTATCGAAAATGTTTACAACATTTACAAAAATGTCCAGATAAATTAGATGAAGCATTACAATTAATACAGGATAAAAATTTATTTAAAGATGCAATTGAAATCTATGGTCTGAATCAACAACAACAACAACAAAATGGTTTGGAACAAATATGGAATGTATATGGTGATTATCTTTATAAAAAATGTTATTATGAAGAAGCTGGTATTGTTTATAATCGTGCCAAAAATTATTTACAAGCATTTAAAATGTATGTACAATCGGGTAATTGGAATCAAGCTTGTATTTGTGCACGAAAAACATATCCAAATGATAATGATGATGATAATTATAAACAATTATTACGTTCTTTAAAACAAAATTTATTAATGAATGGAAATTATAATGCAGCAGCTTATATTTGTGATGTTTATCTTGAAAATCCGGATGAAACATTTATTATTTTGGTAAAAGGTCATCTTTGGTATGAAGCAATTGAATATCATCATAAACATCAATTAAATGAATCATTAATGGAAAAAGAATTCATTGATGAAATGTTACAATCATATAATCATATGATTGAAAATCTAAATGATAAAATTCAAATTCTTAATAATCATTTAGAAAGATTAAAAGAATTGCAGGAAAATACTAGAAAATTTGAACAAAATTTGAATGAAAAAGATGATAATTTAGATACATATTCCGATACAAGCAGTGTTTGTAGTGATACATCATCATTACAATCATATGATACTGATAAAACAAATCAAACATTAAAAACAAATATTAGTCATGCAAAAAAACAAAAACGTAAAGAACAAAGAAAATATTTACTAAAAAAAGGTTCAACAAATGAAGATTTACAAATAATATTTGCTATTAAAGAATTAATCAAACAAAGTTCACAACTATTTCAACAAGGACGGTATTTAATTCGAATACTTTATGAACGATTTTATTCAAATCAATCAAAACAATTACAACAAATATTGGAAACATTTGAAAATCATATGAATAATTGTATTGAATTTATATGGAAATCAAATAATTTTAATCAAAGATTAGAAAATGGTAAGTAAAATTGATTATTTGAAGAAAACAAAAATAAATGATTTTTGTTCATTATTTTTTTAAAAATAGACGAACAATTACGATCGATAGTTCAGATTCCGGATGATCGGTTAAATTATAAATTGATTTTGAATTGAAAACCAAACAAAAAAACCAAAAAGCGGATTTTCTCGATTTTCATTCATCAAATACATCAATAATGTAACAAGATTATCGATTGTTGATAATCTCATTATATCATTTTTTTTTGAAAATTGTTTTTAGTACAAATGTTGACGAGAGAGAGTTGTTCTTGTCAGATTTTCCTATTTTTTCATTTTTTTTCTGATTCAATCGAATTTCGATTGGATCAACAAATATAAATACATTTATTACGTAAAAAATAAAATTTTTTGTTTTGTTTTTGTTGAATACCAAAAGAAAGAATCGAATCGAATTCTAATATCCAAATTGATTTCATCATCACCCCCCAAATTTCATAATCAAAAAATCCGATCGGAATTGATTATTTGATTTGTAATTCCGTTTTTTTTCGTTTGTTTGTTTGTCTCCAACCATAATTTTAGCAACAATTGGGCCTCACACCACCACCAATCATACACCAGAAAAAAAATCATTAAGGATTATTTCAATAAGATGTGGGAAAAAAAGTGTCAACAATTCTTAATCTTAATTTGTAGCAAAATATAAATTCATTTGATATTTCTCTCTTTTTCTCTCCCCCACTTTATTCTTCATATTTTTTTTTCTTCGTCGTCGTCATCGTTATGTTTTCGTCATGAGAAAAAGAATCCATAGAAACACAAACATATCAAAATGTTCATTAGAAAATGGTATTTTAATTTTCGCTGATTTTTTTTTGGCTGGCTGTTGTCGTCGATGTTGGTTGGATGTGGATAGAATTTGAATGTTATAATAATTTTGTCATAAACATTCATAAGGATCAAATCGATTCAGGCGGTTCCAAAACAAAAAAAAAAGTCATCCGTTCGAATTGGAAAATCATTGAATATCGTATATCAAATAATGATGATGATGAACATTATTATTATTATTTTGTTATCGATTACACCTGGATTAGTGGTCACTTGTTCACCTGTTGTATTGACGACAAACAATACTACAATACGTATTGGTTTTCTAAGTTCATTTCGTTATGGTTTAGGTAAAATTATTGCCGGTGCTGTACCATTAGCCATTAAAGATTTGAATAGGTAAATTCAAATTCATTCGATTCTATTTCGACCATTTATGTTTCTGTTTGTGTTTATTTAGTGATGATTCTATTCTTCCTAATCATAATATCGATTTTATTGGTAAGTTTTTTTGCTCATTTTTTTAAAAAAAAAGAAAATTTTTGACAAAATCAAACTACAAACCACATAAAGCTGCTGAATTTGGTAAACCAAACAGTTATTCCGGTATACGAAAAATGACCGAATTAAAAGATCGTGTTCATGCTTTTATTGGACCGGATGAAAGTTGTGCTTGTGAAGCATTAGTCGCTTCGGCTTGGAATAAACCAATCGTTTCATATGTAAGTTTCATTTTTTCGATTGATTTCTTTATACAAAAAAAGTGATGTTTATCTAATAATTTTTCCATCACAAACAAACAAAACAAGAAATGTATCGATCAAAATCTATCGAATAAAACAATTTATCCAACATTTGCTCGTACATTACCGCCAAGTTCAAAAATTTCCAAATCAGTCATATCTTTATTGAAACATTTCAAATGGAATAAAGTATGTAAAATATTTTTCACATTTTTTTTGTTTATTGCAAAAATAAATTATCTTATCCATAGGTCGTATTGATTGTATCAAAAAATCCATCCAATCAACAAGTACAAGAATCACTGATGAAATTAGCCAATGAACAACAAATACAAATACGACAAAAATATTATCTACCTGATCAATATATTAGCCGTCATGAACAAGAAATCGAACAAATCATTGATAATAGTTATCAACAAACAAGAATCTATATTCTACTTACCGATACATTTGTTTTAGTTGATTTTATACGTTTAATGCAACGAAAAAAATTACTTGATACCGGTCTTTATGCAATTGTTTCGGTTGAAGAAGAAGTATTTTATTCAGTAAAAAAAGGTGGTTATCTTAATAAACAATATAAAAATCTACGTAATTTAGATCATTTGGATCTGAGAGGTTTAATGATTATAACACCAAGTCCACCATTAAATATGAATTATTCGGAATTTCAAAAAGATGTTCTTGAATATAATCGTCGTGATCCATTTAGTATACCGTTTCATAAAAAAATTGCCATACAGGTACCAATTTATGGTGGTCTACTATATGATGCTGTTACAGTTATTGCACAAGCATTTCATAAAGTTATTGAAAATGGACAAAATATTTCCAATGGTATTATTGTTATGGATGCATTGAAAAATCTTAATTATAAAAGTTTGTTGTTAATTTCTATTTTTACTTTTGCCTAAAAATGATAATTAATTTTTTTTCATCCAAAAGGTATACTTGGATTCAATGTACATATGGATGAAAATGGTGATGCTGAAGGCAATTATACATTACTTTGTTTAGATATTGTTAATAAAAGTATCGATATGCAAATTGTTGGTTCATTTCATCAGACTGAAAATGATTTACCGGTTTGTTTTAATCAAGTGTTGTTGATTTGGTAATTTGAAGATGTTTTTGTGTTTCTTGACTAACCAAATAGGTATTAAAATTGAATCGTAAATTAAAATGGTATGGTAATGGACCAATATTATCCGAACCAATTTGTGGTTTTAACAATGAATTCTGTGATAATGTAACAATAATTATCGGTATCATATTGTTTATTATTATTTTTATAACAATCGTTTTCTTTACTTTTAAGTAAGTTTTTTTTTGTTAAATTCTTTAAAAATTGATAATGAATTTTTTCTCCGAAATCACCAAATTATCAACAAGACATTATCATTATGAATATAAATTGACAAAAGTATTATGGAAAATCGATATCAAAGATATTTTATTCATACATACCGATTTTGAATATGGATTACAAAATATTCGTAATACAATCAATGTATGTACGATGATGATTCGTTGAATTGTCTAATTTTTCTTATCTTCTAGCTACATAGTTTAAAACAAATGGAAGTTGTTTTCAATACAAATAATATTCAAAATAAAAATGAACAATTTGAAAATTCATCCATAGATATTTTCGATAATCAACTTTATGGTATTGCCATTTATAAAGGATCGATTACATTTGTTAAGCGAATATGTAAAAAATCTATTGATCTTACCCGAAATATTCGTAAAGAATTGATACAGGTAATACATAGATCGGTATTGTACTAATCTAAAATTAAATTTTTTCTATAATTCAAGATGCGTGAAATGCGTCATGAAAATATAAATCAATTTATAGGTGCCATTATTGATGCACCAAACATAGCCGTTATGTTTATTTATTGTGCACGAGGAAATCTTGAGGTTTGTATCAATTGTTGTTCAAAGTCAAAATTCTGATTTTTTTTCGCTTTTGGATGCAGGATGTACTACGTAATAAAGACATTAATCTGGATAACATGTTTGTTGCATCATTAGTTGCCGATCTGATCAAAGTTTGTTATTATTTTCTGTTTCTGTATTATTATTTATTGTTTTTGTGAAAAAAATATCAAAAATCTTCAAATATAGGGAATGATATATCTTCATGATTCGGATATCATATCACATGGTAATCTAAAACCATCCAACTGTTTGATCGATAGTCGATGGGTATTGCAAATATCTGATTATGGTTTGCATGAATTTAAATCTACACAAGATCTATTCAAATCAAAAGAAAATCAAGAAAAAGGTAATGTAAACAAGTCACGACAAACATTCACTCATTAATCATAATCAATATTCTGTATGCAGATATGTTATGGAGAGCACCAGAATTATTGAAAAATTTAAATGCATCACCACGTGGATCACAAAAAGGCGATGTTTATTCGTATGAATGAATTGTGTTTTCTTTTTCTATTGATTTGTTTGATTGATCATCTTTTTTTTCTTTTTTCTGGTTTCTAGATTTGCATTAATACTATATGAAATAATATTACGAAAAAATCCATATGAAGAGATTAATATGTCAAATAATGAAATTTTACATCGTATTATCAATCCAAAATTGTATGGTGAAGTATTTCGACCACGATTAAAGAAACTAAAATGTTCACAATATATAATTAAATGTGTATGTATTTTTTGTTAAATTTTCCTTATTATTATCAATATTGATGATTTGATGGATTTCTTTTTCCAAGATTGAAGAATGTTGGAAAGAAGAACCTGATGAACGACCAGATTTTCGTTTTATCAATATCCGATTACGTGAAATGCAAGCTGGATTGTAAGTTATGATTTTCATTTTTCTGAAATGTAAATAATTCATTTTCAACCGAATAACGAAGGAAACCAAACATATTTGACAATATGATTGCAATGTTGGAAAAATATTCATATAATCTAGAATCATTGGTTCAAGAACGAACTATACAATTGTTGGAAGAGAAAAAGAAAACCGAAAATCTATTATTACGAATGTTACCCAAGTAAATTAATCCATCATCATTGATCATTTGATTTTCATTTCCAATTTTTGTTTCAGATCGGCAGCTGAACAATTAAAACGTGGTGAGGCAGTTGAAGCGGAATACTTTGATTGTGTTACCATTTATTTCAGTGATATTGTTGGCTTTACTGAACTTTCAGCAATGAGTACACCGATTCAGGTGGTTAATTTATTGAATGATTTGTATACCTGTTTCGATTCAATTATTGGTAATTATGATGTTTATAAAGTGGAAACAATTGGTGATGCCTATATGGTTGTTAGTGGTCTGCCGATACGTAATGCTGAAAAACATGCCGGTCAAATAGCATCGATGGCATTACATCTTTTACAGGAAATATTCAATTTTGAAATTGCTCATCGTCCAGGTGAATATCTTAAACTTCGTATTGGTATTCATTCAGGTCCATGTGTAGCCGGTGTTGTTGGTCTTAAAATGCCACGTTATTGTTTATTCGGTGAGCTTATTACCTATGAATTAGATTGGAATTATTTCTCTCATTTGATTGATTTGTATTGTAGGTGATACAGTGAATGTTGCGTCAAGAATGGAATCCACTGGTGAAGCACACAAAATACATGTTAGCTATTCATGTAAACAAATTCTAGATAAATTAGATGGCTATATTCTTGAAGAACGTGGTCTAATTTCGATCAAAGGAAAAGGACAGATGCGTACCTATTGGCTATTGGATCGAAATCTATCAGATGATTCATTATAAGCAAGTTTTTGAATTTTAATTATGATAAATGATGTTTATTTTGGTCATTAATAGTTTATATTTTAATTATGAAAAAAATAAATAGTTTATGATTTATTGATTGAATCGATATAATAATAATAATAATAAAGAAAAAAAGAGATCAATCAATTTAATGATAAGGGTTTGGGTTCGGTTCAACATTTTTGTTGATTTCGATTTTCATTATTGGTTTCATCATGGGTTATCCCAAAGTAAGAAATCAAATAACCAAGCTGCAAGAATACCACCAATATGTGGACCAATAATACCAGCAACTAGCCAATAAAGTGAATCAACGGGTCTAAATTTTTTTGTTTTGAATCGTATTGAAGAGAGAATTGTAAAAAGAAAAAATTTAACCAATAATCTCTATTTACCTGAAAGAATCGAAACCATAGCCACTAATTAATAAAAATAATCTTGGTGCTAAATCTCTGGCTGGATTTAATGCTGCACCACATTGCAAACCAAATGCAACGACTACACCACAAATAACCAAACCGAGTATGAATGGATAAAGATAATCCGGCAATTTAGCTCGTTTATGCGTAACTGCCAGTACAGAGAAAACCAATAAAAACGTAGCAACTATTTGATCTACCAATGATGATACAACAGTATTCCATGGTGCTGGAAATGTAGCAAATATACCACCGGTAGCAATTTCAGCCATACGTGTTTGATTATTACCAAACCAATCACCAGCATAAGCAATACGTTGATTATTATCATATGTTTTAATACTTTGATAATATGTTACGAATATAACCATTGATGATAATAATGCACCAAAATATTGTCCGAAAAAATAATGTGGAACTTTTGATAATGGAAATCTACCGCTTATGGCAAATGCTAATGTTACAGCTGGATTTAAATGTCCACCAGAAATGGACATCGAAGCTGATATACCTGCCAAAGCACCAATACCGAATGTAAATGCAATGGAAAAAAGATCGATACCAATTTTTGAATTACGATTCAATAAATAAGTAGCAATCGATCCTTGACCAAACAACTATATAGTTTAAACAAAACAGTTAATTGTTGTTTAGGCTAAACGATAATGCATACAACTTACAATAAGCAAAAATGTTCCAACCATTTCGGCCAACATTTCACGTAAAAATATTGGCATTTTGCTAATCCGTGAATTTGTAAGCGATTTTTTATTAGATTTCTTATTAGAAGAATTCGTTTCATCCGTACGCATCGTCGTTGATAGTTCCATGCTTTTCACACACAGAATGATGATGGACAAATGTTTTCACCAATAAACAATTATATCAGATTTGATAACAATTTCTTTCAGTTTTCTTCTGAATAAATTAGATTTGATTAACAATATCCTGTAATGTAAATTATTTGTTTTTATTTGATTATTAAACAAATTGTTAAACTGAACAATGAATTTGATCTAGGTCAAGGGTCGATTAATAATAATCATAATCATTGAAAAACATTTAAAATAATAAAAAAATGCTGCTGAAGAAGATTGATTAACTTCCTGTTTTGATCAAAATTAATTGACAAAATTTGCTAAAAGATGTTGAATGAAAACACAAACATGAATGAATGAATGAAACAAATGAAACATATGTGAGCTACAACGATCGAATGAACAGAAAAATTAAAACATTGCAAGATTGTTGTTTCGAACAGTTCTAAACTTCGAAACTTCGAACTTTTGTTTCTGCTTCATGACAGTGGAATACCAATAATAACGGATATGGAACTCTATATATATCTGGATAAATGAATACAAAAATGAATGATGAAAATGATAAATAAATAAATAAATAAACCACCACCGGTATTCATCAATCAAATTTCAAAATTACATTTTATTTTTTTTACCAAGAATTAAAAAGCCAAAAAAACAAACATACATTTTCAAATATGATGTTTAAATATATGTGACTTCTAAAATTAAAATTGACAATAATGAGATATAATAATCATGTATATGATTTTTTCTATTGCTTGCTAAAAAATTTCTACGCAGGGAAAAAAGAAATCGAAGTGGAATGAGAGAAAAATTATGGTAGAAATCTTCAACATTATGATGATGATTTCAACATCGTGTTTCATAAAGGCCACTACGACCAATATATCGTACCCATTTGATAACATCATGATCATTATAATTTAATTTTGGTTCAAATACTTTAAGATAACGGACTTTCAAACCGGATGGTGCAAATGGTACCTCAAAATTCATCGAAATCGGTGGCCTATTCCATTTCTTTTTATTATCGGTCAATAATAATTCAATTTCGGCACTAAGCTGAGTTTCTTTCATACCTGCCATTCGTTTGATTCTGAAAAATAATAAATATAATTAATTGACGAAAGTAACCAATTAATAAATACATTACTAACCTCCAGACAATAGCATTTTCGCTTGCTTTATATTTAGCTTTACCTTTCATACAGATCAATTGTACACCTGATGTATTCAATGGAGTGGGAATTTTTACTTCAATTTTCTGTCCAATCAATGATGGTTTGAAATTCGATTTAAGAACCACTTTTACTTCCATTTTAGTACGGCCAACTTCACGAACCAATGGTATGATTCGAAATGGAAACGATATGTCTTTGGTGATACGATAACGCATTAATTCATATTCACCATCCGGCGGTATAAAACTGATTGCATGTTCCGATTCAAATTTTGATAGCTTTACACATTGATGAAATTGACAATCATCAATTGCTATTGATGATTTTGATGAACCACTTGGACGTGCTGCCGAATCATCCAATATGGCCGATTGAGTGGATTTACTTTTATTTTCCATTGTAATCTTATCATTGATACCGAATTTACATTCAGGCATACCAGATAGATAGGATTTCATTATGACTTTTCCGGCTACATGAGCCGATAATACTTGACCTTGTGCTGACATTAATAGATTTACATATTCCAAAACGTCTAAAAATAATTCATTACGTCGATATTTGATTCCTTCACGACGCCAACCAATTTGTCCGGTTACTTGTGATGTAATCTGTGCCTGTTCTTCTTTAGTAGCCGATTTAACGCCCGTTTGCGTGATGAACGTTTTCAATATGCCTGTATCCGTATTTTGAGGATAACCAAAATCCAAAATTTCATCCAACAATTCATAGATGAGAACAAAATTATTCTTTACATTTTCTTCATTTATCTTTCCAAAATAACTTTGCATAACATCGCACATTTTAAGTAAAAATTCAAAAACCATTGCTGCTGTAACATTTTGTTTAGTGACGGCTGCAAGCCATAGATTTCCTCGTTTTACATGAAAAAATGAAGTTCTAGCCAAATTTGTTACCGGTGATCGTACTTGTTGTCGTGCATGGATAACATTCACACGGAATGCATCGACAGCGTTTCGTCTTCATAATTTCGTATTGAAATATTTTCATAAATTTGCTGAATTATTTAATTCATTCATAAAACTTACCCAATATCATCACGATAAACTCGTGAGATAAGAACTTCTCCTTTATGATTATAGATGAAAAGTCCACCGATCATTGTTGCAATAACATTTGCTAAACAATCAATGAATGAATTTTTGATCAAGAATAATCGGAGAAACACCTCTAATCGATTTTTTTCCCCAAAAATATATTATCAATGACCAAATTCAATAGTTTGTCAGGACAACACACACAAAAAAAGTGATGAACAACTGTCAAAATAATAATAAATATATGAGCGATGGACGTATAACTCAATTGGATTCAATTCGATACTATCACGATTGTTATGTTGGTGGATGATTTAACAATTTTTTTGAAAATTTATTTTGGTAAAAATTATGGCTACATTTTTTGGTGAAGTTAATGATATTTCATCTAGATCTGCTTGGTGGTCGGATTCAGATTGCGATGATGATGATGAACATGTTCCCGATAAGGAAATTCATCGACAAAAAAATCCTACGAAACTTGGAAAATTTTCGATAAAATATGAAAATGGTTATCGATCCGATTCCGAATTTAAATTCAAACAAATTTATGTAACCAATGTTAAATCTATTCCAAAAAATTTGAAAACAATCCTGACCATATCGATTGACAATGTCGATATCCCAGTTTGTTATTTGTATCTCTTAGATGATGGTAATCATCCACAATCCTGTTGGTTAGCCATCAATCATCGAACATTATTACAACATGAACATTTAACTGTACAACTAGTTAAATATCTTTTCGATACTGTATTGAACAAATTGATCAATTCAACCAAATCAAAATTATTGATCATATCGAAACAAAAAAATCGTTCCGGTCATGTACAATATCTTAAATCACCAACAACATTGGATAATGATTACATTGCTGATATTGGTAAAAAATGTAGCATCACAAAATTAATGGCACCCGAAACATCTAATGATGAATTTGAATTGGCCATAATGCAACATTGTATCGTTCGACGATTAAATTTTATATTTTTAATTTTACCAATCGAATCAGAGAATGGACAATTTATTCCAAAAATAATTAATGATTCATTGAAACAATTTTATGATTTTTCACAAAATAATCTAATTATTTAATCAAATGATTTATAATTATTAAAAAGAAAATATATATTCTTTATTCATATTTCGTTGGATTTAATCTTGATTTAGCCTGAAATTTCCATCGTGCTTGTCGTTCTTGTTCATCATCCGAATAATCTTGATGTTCAGGTGGTGGTTCATTATTATCTTTCCATGATGCATCACATCCTTTTTGACGAATCAAATGATTAACAAAAACATATTTAGTATATGGTTCGGGAAAACATCCATTATAATAAACGGCCATATTAATGGAAAGATTCATATCACGAATTTCTTTGGATGAATTAAAACGAACAACATAATTTGGTTGTCGTACTGGTCCGATTACATCGAATATTTGTCCTAATATTTGTTGTGAGAAAAAGATTAGATTAATTTAATCTAGCCAAAAGAAAAGAAAACATTACGCACCTAATGGAGATCCATCTTTAAGAAATAAAGTTGAATCAAGATCCAATACATGAACAGTTGTGAATGATTGAACGATGACCAATTGATTAACAAATGAATTTATCGTACCAATTTGTGTTAATTGTTCGACAGGTGAATGAATATTTAAACGTTCAATTTTAGGCAGTTCATCAAATGTTAATTCGCCCTCTGTTTTACAAGCAGTCATTGTTTCGGAATCTGATTCATCATCGACATTTATATCCGATTCATTATCATCAGGAGACCATGGTGATAGATGATCATCATCAGTGTCATCTGTATCATAATGAAATGGTTGTTCACGATGTGATCGAAATGAATTTACAAATTGATGAAGGTAACGTTTTTCCACTTTGAACAATAATCGATTGATAATTTTTTTGATGATCAATTCGTCCGACGAAACTTGATTCAATTGTTGATTGTCAACCCTAATGTCATTATCATAATCATCATCGTTCATACAAACATCTGAATCCGATGAATAATCAACAATTGATTGATGGATCATGATGATTTTGGAAAATTTGAAAATGTAAACAAGAGTTAGCAAGCGAGAAAAATAAAACCATGCTTTGATCACGTGATTTCAACAAAAAAAAAACTTTATTCGTGAAACGCTCAACATATAAACAAACTTGTATCATCGAAATAACATTTGATTATCAAAATTTGATCCAGAAAAAAATGGATTTACGTGAATTTTTCGACAGTATTTTTAACATGGAAGAAACTATTGATGATTTGGAGAAAAGTTTTATACGTGGTAATTTTATGTTCGGTGATGGTCCACGAACTAATATACGTCCACGTGATTTGATGTTGAAAAATTCCGCATCATCATCATCAACAATTCGACGATCACCAAGAAACGGTGTACATTCATTTGATAATTTCTTTGAAGCACTTAATGATAATCAATTAGGATCATCAAAATCTCAAACAATTATTAAAGAATTTAAATCCGATTCACAGGTAATGTTGTTCATCATCAATTGAAATATATTGATTTTTTTTTCTTCTCACTGGATGTTTAGGGTATGTTTGAAGAAAAAACTGTCATCAAAGATAGTGATGGTAATGAAAAAATTATTACAAAACAATCGGATGGCAGTAAAACTATTGAACGAGAAATACAGAAAAAAGATGATAAAATTGTACAAAATAAGGAAATTGTTTCCGATATTGGAGGTAATTTGTTTTATTGGAATATATTTTGGATGAAAAAACTTTTTACTTTATTTTTGAACAGATGATATGACAAAACTTAGCATTTTTCCTCATGGCAATAATGATAATGATAATGTTTCGAATGCTACAAAAGGACGTAGTTATTGGTCGTATGTATGGCCATTTTAAATATTTTCGTTATCGTCGTCGTCGTCATCATTCGATGGTTGGCCATCCTGTTGATCATCTGGTTCAGAATCTTTTTCGTCCGATTCGTCTTTTTGTTGTTCAAATTGTTCGCTTGTTTTCATTCGTTTTTCAATATCTTTAGCAATATTAAATACACCGCTTGTTTGTGCACCACAAACAAAACATTTCGTCGATTTTTTATAATGATCCAATGCACATTGTTGACAAAAATAATGTTTACATTTTGTTGCCACTGGATTAACGAAACGATTACGACATATAAAACATGCGAAAGGTAAATCATCATCATCATCGATTTTATATTTATCCGGATCATCGTCATTATCATCATCTTCGTTTTCATGACCATGTTTATGTTTTTGACCTTTGGTTGATGTTTCAAGTTCTAGCTGCCAACCAGCTTTATAATCCGAACGATCATGTAAAAATTTACATGAATCACCAAAACCACAAAATCCTGTTTCTTTATAATCTTTACAGATATCTGGTTGATAATCCCAACGAACAGTTGAACGAATATTATCCGGTGCACGCATTGGACCTTTTCGAACATGTCCCGATGATGCATTACCGAATGGCGTATCTTTTTTCTGTTTATATTGTTGATAGTTATTAGCACCACGATAGATTTGTTCATCATTGTTAGGATCCATTGTTTCTTCCTGTATCTTACGTGATCGTTCAAATATACTTTGTGCATCTTTATCACGTTCGGTTTCGGTTTCCAATGTCATTGTTGCACCCATATCGGATGGACCATCACGTTGACCAGATTTACTTGATGCATAACTTACATGTATTGCATCATTATCATCATCATCATCGTCACTATCTTCATGAGAAATTTTTTTGTTCTTATTTTTCAAAGATTTCCTAAACGAACATGTTGATTGAATCATTGGATTTGGTTTTCGTTTTTTTCGATCACTAATAATGACACTTGATTCTTCATCACTGTCCGAATCGCTTGAATTACTGCTCGAAGTTTTTGTCAGTCTTGTACGAACACTGTAAACGAATATGAATATTAAACATTGATTAATTGCTAATTAAAACAATTGATATTTACCTTCGATTTGTAGTTCGTTTAAGAAAAAATTTACAATTATCATCGGACATTTTTGTTTTTTTTGAAAAAAACGGGCATGAAATTATCAACAAATGACAACATTGAATAGTGCTGCCATCTATGGCACAAAATGTATTTGATTTTTTTTTTAAATTTTTTATTATGAACGAGAGATGTGTATTATATATGATCAAACATAACATTCAGGCTGATAATGGATAGTGAAAAAACTCAAAATGTGTTTATCAACAACAGAACAAACAACAATGCAAGAAAAGAATGGATAAATATTAATTAAATTAATTAGGCTGTGTTCCACCACCACCACCTGGATTGGCTGTTTGTGATGATAGATATAGATGACTTCGATCATGGTAAGCAGATTCTTGTGATAAAAGTCCATCCAATTGAGATCTATCTTCAAAGCTATATGGATCCTGTATTGTGATTGAATACCAAAAAAGAAAAAATGTCAATAAATTTTCAAATTAAAAGAAAAAAAATCACACATTACCTGTGATAGATCTGTTTGTGAAAGAAGATGTTGTGAATATCCTTGCATCGAATAAAGACCAGCACCTGGATGTTGTTGTTGTTGACTATTCGATGAAGATAATTGACCAAATGTACCAGGTTGTGTAAGCAAATTTTGTGATAAATTCTGACTATCCTGACTACTTCGACTAACCGTACCACTATTACGATTATATCTTTTATTTTGTTGTTGTTTACCATTATTCGATCTTTGGTTATGAGCCATCTGTTGATGTTGTTGTTGATTTTGTCCATAATAATTTTGTGGCATCGTTATGAAAAGACCAATCGGTACTGGAAAATTTGATATGGCAGCCAAATTAGTTTGTGCACGATCATTAGCAATATAGGATAATTGATCATGTTGATTAGATCGATAATGATGATGATGTGATGGTGGTGGTTGTGGATGATGAACATTATGATGACTATATGGTTGTGAATTTGTTTGACTTGATGAATAATTTGAATATTCATCACGATCATTATTATTGTTCGGATTTCCGATCGGATTCGATAATAATCCATGTCCAAAACGATTATTCATTGCAAATGGTAATGTTGGCATTTGAAATTGATTATTATTACTGCTGTTAGTGTTCATCATAGGTTGTGCAACCGAATTAAATGGTGAAAGTCCATTCGTAATCGGATTAATCATTTTACGTGGTTTAGAAAATTGTATCAAACTTTCTTTTAGATTATTCAATGGTCCTTCAACCAATACACGTTGTTCTTTATAAAATGACAGTAAATGATTCCAAATTGGTTGTTTGGATAAAACTTTTGGATTACCAACAATAATGATTCCATATTTTGCACGAGTTAATGCTACATTCAATCGTCGTGGATCATTCAAAAATCCAATACCTTGATGTTCATTCGAACGAACACAGGAAAATACGATAATATCTTTTTCTCGTCCTTGAAATGCATCAACACTGGCCACTTCAATTTCCTGATATAATTTCGTATGAAATGATCCATTATGTTGCATATATTGTACCAAAAATGAACGTTGTCCTTCATACGGTGTAATCACACCCAATTGTTCGGGTTTCAATCCGGATTTCAAAAATCTTGTAATAATTTTTTCAACATAAGCAGCTTCTGTACGATTCAAATACGATGTACCAGAACCAGCAATTTCTTCTTGTCCTTGACAACAATAAAAAAACATTGGTCGATCTGGTATTGGCCATGGAAAATCATTTCCTTTCAATTGCCTTTCGGATCCATGAACACCATTTTGTAATGATCCTTCATAGAATAAATTCGATGGAAATTCACTTAACGATGGATGCATACGATATTGAACTTCCAAACGAATAGGACGTATACCAAGTACAACTAAACGTTCGAATAGTGATCGAGAAAGACCAGCTTTAGCTGCTTTTTTACACATAACCACTGGACCAAGTTGACAATGATCACCAACAAGTACTAATTGTCGTACGCCAAGAACTACTGGTACCATACATTCAGGTTCAGTTGCTTGCATCGATTCATCAATAAGCATCGAATGAAATTTAAATCGACATAATCGTGGATCACCAGCACCAACACATGTACAACAAATAACATCAGCCGATTCTAATAATTCACGTTCACATTGTCGTTTCAATATTCGATAACGTTTTTCATCGGATGATGACAGCTCTCCGGTTTCATCTTTTAATTGTTGTAATTTACGAAATTCTGAATGTCCAACCATTTCACGAATTTGATTATGTAATGCAAGAAATGATACAGGTGAACTAATTGCTTCACGACTTTTTGCACATATCCGCACTACTTTCAATCCGGTCAGATGAATTTTTTCCGTTAATTGATCGACAGCAATATTACTTGGTGCACAAACCAAAACAGGTGTTGAACCTGATCGTACAAAATGATAAACAATCGATGCCGATGTAACTGTTTTACCAGTACCCGGTGGTCCTTGAATCAGGGTTAAACTTTTCGATGCTGATTGTTTAACAGCAAACATTTGTGATTTATTAAGTTCAGGCAAATTCGGTGGTATATTCAATTTGATATTAGATGATTTAGACATTTGTTTATCCTCCAAATTATGGCCAAGTAATTTATGATAGATACTACTATTAACCGATGTATCATCAATGGTAAATCGACGTAAAGCAGCTTGCATTCTAAAATTGAAAATGAAAATCAATAATGATTATCATTAGAAAAAAAATTAAACTTTTACCTATCAAAACTAGTAGATTTCCAAACAAAATCAACAGCAAAATTTGAATTACAATTAGTAGGTACATTATGATTTGTTTTCAATTCGATTGCAACTTCATCACTATAATTATCGGGGATTTTTGTTACATGACCAATACCGGACCATGGTTTGGATGGATCACCAACATAACGAAGTTTAAGTTCATCACCATGCATCAAACGCATATCAGTATCAGATTTAGCAATACGAAAATAGGCAATAATTTTCATATTCAAACCAACATCCCATCTTACTTCAATATTATCTTGTGTTTGCGATTCTTTCAATTTTTTATCATAATCGGCTTCCAATTTGACCAATGGTGAAAATATACCTTGATATTGATATGCATCTTCATAACTGACCAATACTTGTTGTGGTTCTTCATCGACACCAGGTTTTTCTAGATCCAAAAATGTTGCCTCTGAACTACCTTCCTTCCAAAGTTCTTCCAATTTATTAATCTGTTGAGCGGTAATTTGTCTAGCACGAAGTTGTTCTTCATCCGACGGAACTTTTACTAACCATGAAAGAAACATTCGTTCTGAAATCAATGGTTTCCATTGATCAGGATCCCAATTCATATCCTTGAGGCTGGATTGTGCTGCACATGGTTGTCGACAAAGCAATACAACAACCGAATCAGCTTTAGCTGGTATAAATCCCAATACAAATACATTACGACAACCACAGCTATAACATTCAAGCACTGTATCACCAAGTGTACCATCTTTATGTAGACTAACTTCTTTATGTTTCGATCGAACTAAATGATTAATAATATGACTGCCCGATGTATTACCACGACCATTACAGAACCATTTTTTACAAATATTACATTGTACAACAGTATTCGGATCATGTATACCACAATATTTACAAGCATGTCCAGGTAATTCTTTATTATAATCACCAACACCACCACTACCACCGATAATATTATCATCATCTTCATCTTCGAAATTTAATTCACTAAAATTCTGTGTTATACCAGTTATATCCGATGTAATTGGATCAGCTACACTATTGTTTGATGATGAGCCACCTGCTACATCTTGACCAAACTGTATTTTTTTGGAAAAAAACATTTTAGTAAAAAGTAAAATTTCAACATTTTTTTCCTTCTACTTACAACATCATGATGATTATATGATGAAGGTTGTTGTGAATTTGATAATCGTTGTGAATATTCACCATAATCAAAATTACTACATTGAGTATTCAACAACATTAGATCATCATTGTCTCGTTCATCAAGAAATTGAGACATTTTTCTTCTCTTCTTCTTACAAATCAAATCGAATTTTAAAAAAAAAATTTTGGCCGAAAATTAATGCTGACCAGCATGTAATAACTCATCATCAACAATAGAATATAAAGACGGCGTCATCTGGTGGCCGTTAACAAATAATAATTTCTCGAACTCTTTTCTGAAAAAAAAATGAAACTTCAAAATTCAAAATTTTTTTTTATTTATTTCAAACTTATGAAAAAAAAAGATACAAATATTCAAATTTATATTGGATTTTGGATGAAAAAAAGCTAATGTTCACTCTTCTTCTTCTTCTTCGGCAGCTGTACCACCTTGAGCTTTTTTCATGTTCTTCCTCTTGACACGACCTGGTCGTCCACCACCGTATGGTGAACTTAATGAAAAATTAATGTGCTTTTCCGAATCTAAACGCACAATAAATGATGGTATGTTGACCATTTGTTTACGAACACGTATATGTCGTTGACGGATCAAAACTCGTGCATGATGGATACTTTTAGCCAATGCATGTTTCAAAACTTGTGTTTGTAATCGTCGTTCAAGAAAATCTTCAATACGCAAACCAAGAACATAATCGAGTTTCATTTCAGTTTCTTGTAGTACACCGATACGAACCAATCGTCGAAGCAATGCATTACCTTCGAACAAACGTTTTGAATCTTTTTCATCCAACGTCAACAATTCACGAGCAGCTTTACGAATTTTGGCCAATGTATATTTTACACGCCATACTTCACGTTTATTACGTAGACCATATTTACCGATCAATTTCATTTCTTGATCAAGACGTTCTTTTTCGAATGGACGACGTGGAGTAACGTACGTCTTCGAATAGACGATTGGTACACGAGGCATTGTTGTTTAATTTTTTCGTTCAACCTTCAAGAACAAAACATAAAAATAATTGTTAATCAAAGCTTGATCCAATATCAATATAAAAGATTTAGGCTAAACCAAAATCGATTCAGACTGATTGATTGATTTTAGTTTTTCTTGGCCAGAACTGAAAAAAAGAAGTATTCCAATTATAATGGAAACCTTCCAAACAAGATGAACAATGGCCATTTCGAATGATTTTCAAGAAAAATCAATCGAATTTCAAATTTAAATTGAAAAAATCGGAAAAAAACTTACCCAAAATCGGAAAATTGTGGCAAACACACACACACAGACAAGCTAAACACGAACACGAGGCTTGACGGAAAAAGGAAAGCAGTAACATTCAAGCGTGGCCACGTCTGTATGAGCGAGTAACGAGAAAAGTTTCTGGCAAGATTTTAAGGAAAACTTTTCGAGAAATTTTGAATTCTTTCAGAAAAAAATGATTTTTTTCAAATTTTTTTTATTTTCATTTTATATTAAATTCACAATTACAAATCTTAAATGAAAGTATTTTTTTTTGAAAAAATTTTTATTTTTTTAATGTTGGAAAAAAATTTGATTAATTAAGCTGACGATACTGAAGCTTTAGGGCCAGATGATGCTGATGATCTTCGACGACGTGCTTCATCTTTTGCCTGTTTAGCTTCTTTTTGTCGTTCGGCTAATAACCGTGCATATTCATTTGCTTGTTCTTTACGTTTTTCCGAACGGCGACGTTTCAATGCCATACGTCTTCGTTTACGTTGCAATAATTGTGGCGTAATCAAACGTTGAATTTTCGGTGCTTTTGTTCGTTGAGGTTTGCCTTCTTTTTGTGGCAACGGTCGTCGAACAACATATTGTCGAACATCATCATCTTTGGATAGATTGAATAATTTGCGAATTTTGCTGGCACGTTTCGGTCCAAGACGACGTGGTATGGTTACATTGGTCAAACCTTCAATTTCTTGAGCACCTGCAAATATATTCGAAAATTACATCACTGTAATATTAAAAACTAAATGAATACCTTTTTTGACAATAACCAACGACAATACACTCAAATTCGAATCAACAATACAACCACGAACGGATTTACGTTTACGTTCGCCGGTACGACGTGGTCGATAGCATGAATGACCAGCCGATAACAATAAACGCACACGACCATTGGTAAGAATACCTTGTTTCATTGGGAAACCTTGTTTATCATTACCACCAGTAATTCGAAAAACATAACCTTTCCATTCATCACCTAATGATTCGGCACCAACTTCTTGACCAATACGTTTATCGTAGAAAACACGAAGTTTATGATCATCATCGATTTCGATGAGCTTTTGAGCGCTCGTTTGTGGATCAGCAATATTAAGCTATACATTAACAGAACGGAAATTTATAAAATTGGAATTATTCTGGATCAAAAAATCGAATCAAATGAACAAAAAAATGTCAAAACAAACCTTCATATTTGATGTATGAAATGAATGAAACCACTGAGTAAAAGGAAAGGAATAGGAAATGCAGCAAACAAAACACACCACACACACACACAAGCAGACACGTGAATTTGCTCGTAAATTTAATTTGCGCATGTGTCGGCTATTCTTACCTTGTTCGACCGAACAAGCCCATATAGTTCAAATATGATCAAATCAACTAATAGATGGCGTTTAAAAAATTTTATTTCAATCAATTTCATCCAAATCATCGAATTTAGGATTATTATTTGGATATTTTTTCAAACGTAAATTAATTTTTTCCTTCATATAACGTATAGATGAATGATATTTAGATTTTTGTACAATATGATCATTTTGTTTCCATTGACTCCAAACATTTGTATCCAATTCAATCGTTGTATTTTTTAACATTTGTCGAAATTGTTTGTTTACTTCGGCAATCGATTGACGAATTTTCCAAGGAATCGATTGATTATTTCGATCTGCTTCCACTGTTTGTTCACGATAATAATTTAACATAATTTCGATACGTTCAATATCCATGATTGTTAATTTTAAATTATGTTTATCCATATAGGATAAAAGAAATTGAACATAGTGAAGATCTTTATGTCCACAAGCTAAATTTATTAACGTTCCCATAACATTATTATTTGGTCGAATTGAACATTGTTTCATTTCATCAAGAAATTTTCGGGCATCATTCATTTTTGTACAGGCAAATGCTAATGCACCAAATGTCATTATATCAGGTCGTAGTTGTTCACGTTGCATTTCTCGTATCATTTGTTCACATTTTTCACGATTTTTATTTTTTGCATAAATTTTTATGAAAACATTGTACAAACAAACATCGGATCTTTGATTGTATCGATCAAGTGCTTTTTGTATCAATTCAAAACATTCATGATGATCGGCAAGTAATTCAGCCATCAATGTAAATGTTTTAAGATTTGGTTCAACACGATAATGTTGCATTAGTTGAAGAAAACCATCGATACCACCGAATAATAAAAATCTATTCGTAACCGAATCAAGTGATTGAAAATCGATGGAAACAATATCCGATTGATTATTATTAATCAATAGATTGGGTAAATTATTGGGAATTTCCGATTGTTTCATTGGTAATTTATTAGTTGATTGCGGTACCAAACCTTTAGTATTTGCAGAATTATCAACAAGTTGTTTGACTTTAGTTTCTGATTCAAATCTACAATCACGTATTGATCGAAGAAATAGATTAAACGGAGCAACGTTTAGCGAAATTTTCGGCTGATTATGAAGAATTTTTCGCATAAGTTCAGTAGCAATATAGAGGCCATTTTTCGGTTGTTGAATTGCACCCATCAATAACATACAATATGTATCTTGATTTGGTTCGATTCGATGACGTTTCATTTGTGCTATAGTCGAATCAATATTCGGTTGATCATCGAATAATGCAAATACTTTAATCATAACATTATAATGTGTTTGATTATAATGAAAACCATTTGAATCCAATTCATCGCGAAGTTTAATGGCCAGATTTAGACCATACTTCGAATCATCACCAATGGAAGAATCGACGGGACAATTAGCACATGCATTAAATAATGCTGTAATCATTGCACGTGTTGGTTGATAATCATATCGTTTCATTTCATCAAACAATTCGAATGCTTTACGTGTATAACCAGCCTGTGCACAGGCATTGATTAACATTGTATAAATATTACGATTAGGTTTATAACGATCATCATAAACCATTTGACGATATATTTCAAGTAATCGACCAAGATTACGTGGTCTTCTCCTATACACTTCTTCAATCATACGTTCATAACCAGGTAATGATATTTTTATACCACGTTTAATTTCCAAACGATCATAACCATCTTGATCTTCGGCCAATCTTTCGGATTTTAATGGCTTTGATTTTCTCGTTTTGTTCGTCGTCGACGATTGTTGAAATTTTTCCACTAAATCACCAAATTTATCCGGTTCAAGTTGAGAAAAATCAATCACTTTTGGCGATGATGAACATAGTTGCCGTTGTAGCGAATATTTTGATACATTTTGTTCATTGATTCGTAATCGTGAAAAAATACGACCAAACCAAATGGATCTTTGTATGGCCAAAGAATTCATTGATTCAGCGATCCAGAAAAGAAATTTCAAAAAAAAGAAAGAAAGAATCACATGTGATGATAATTGAAGAGCTAAACATGCTAACTAGATGGCAGCATCTGGTTCAAATATAAATCTTGTGGACATATTCGATGTTTCAAAGTAAAAAAAAAATCATCAATTTTGTTTTTGTTTTGTTTCAATATTATTGTGAATGTTGCCATGTCAATGAACAATAATGTACCTTTTAAGCATTTCACATTTCAAGGATTTCTTTTTCTCTCGCAAAATTCAGTTTAGTTCTTAATTTATGATGATGATTCTGTTTTCAAATCAATCGATAAAAACGAAACAAAACAATCAATGATAAACGGAGGTAATGACAATAATGGTTGGTGATTTATTATTCGTTTTCGTTTTTTCGTAAAACCCAGAAAAAAATTGTTTATGTTTTCAATGTTTAAAAGTTCTTTGACACTTGGATCAAATTTTATCGAAGAAAACAAAAAAAAAATTTTAATTGCGAAATTTTAATAACGTCATTTATGAATTTTGTCATTTCAATCATCACTTTCAATCATATATACTTCTACCATTATTTACGTTTTCACTTTCTTTCGCACCACTACCACTGACAATCAACCCACCATGCATCCAAAACAGAAAAACAAAAACAAAAACAAAAATATCAAGTCACGCGATCCATTTTTTGCTTGTCCGAAAAATTTGAGATACCAAAAAAATCTATAGCGCCAATGTCGTCGATTTATAATCAAAAAAATTCTTATCAATTTTTATATGGTGATGATGAATTTTGTTTTTTTCTGTTTTTCGATCCTTTTTTTTTTTTTTTTTTTTTTTTTTGGGTGTACTTGAAACCAGCCAAAAAACAAAAAAACCAATTATA